GGTACGCTAAAAAAAACCCATCAATTATAAAGAAAAATTACAGTCAAAACGCTTTGTAAACAGTTTCAAAATGATTAAGCTAAGAGAAGTGAAGGTTTGATAATTTTAATTCCAAAAAGTGAAACAAAAATTGCTTTGTTTTTATCTGTATAATTTAATTCTGTCACCGGTAAATAGTTCTGTTTTTGCCGTGTAAAAACCTGTAGAATAGTTGATTATGTTGTATTGTAAAAGTTTGAAAAAATAACTGTAATCGACTTATAATGTTGTTAATTCCTTTTAACTGCTAATGCAGCTGCTTTTTAGCATTTATTTTGTTGTACAATTTTCGTTTGTTTTCTTGTTGCAGTCAAAAAACATAAGCTTAAAAGTATCTTATAAAATTATAGAACTTAAATGCAATGTTAGTGTAGCATAAATAATTATAAAAATAAGCATTTACTTAATATAATAATTAATAATTCTGTCTGTTGCCTATTTACCACATTCTTAGTTTGTTTTCATTACTAATGCAGCTGCTTTTGGCATTTATTTTGCTATGTTGTTTTTGCTGTATTAAAGAAATAAATGCCGGTTAGTTGGATAATTTTATATGTCAAAAGTAATAAAGTAAAGTTTTTTTTTTTTGGTATAATTTAAACTGTATTTGTTTGATATTTAAACTGAAAAACTTTAGTTTTTTTATACTGTCGCTCTCAGTAATACAGTTAGCTTTAGTTTATAGAAGTCATAAATTATTATTGTATTTCAAGTTTGTTCTTATAACTTCAATCAACAATTTCTTATCGTAACTTTTTTATTCATTTGAACTATTTTTGTTATCCAAACGACATCTTTAGTTTGATGCTCTTCTGTTTTTAAATTTCACTTCTATTTTGAACAACCTGAAAATGTAGTAAACATTTGGCAATAAAATTTTGAGTAAAATGTTAAAGTTGAAAATTAATACAATAATAAGCATAAAATAAGCACCTAAGACTAATACTAAGTAATCAAACAGAACAGTTTAGATATGAAAAAGGCAAAAGGCAGTGGACAATCATATAATCAAACAAAGCATTCCAGTTCACTCATAACTAAAGCGCCGAAAACTGAGGTGTGAGCCATTTTCTTAACATGGTTTATAAACATATAACCATTATAGCATCAAAAGTACTGCTTCTACATTATTTTTATAATTCCTCACTTACAGAATGGTACTAAGAGCAGCTAAATACCCCTGAAATCTACGAGAATGTAAACCCTGCAAAACAACTGCAAAAGAAAAAAACATATAATCATTTTAAAAAATATATTGTAGAAATTCCTACTTTTTAGGAAACAGGTACTGAAAAATTTATAGCCGACTTACTAAATCTAAGATTTTAGCTCAATAAAAGAAACCAAATTTAATTTGATTGCACATCTATTTATTTATTTATTTTTTTTTGCTAAATTAGAAACAGAATAGAAAAATTGAAAAGTTGAAAGATGACAACAAGTCTAAGTCGCGTTTGTTAAAACAAATTATATTCAAAATTTTGAGCTATTTTCACAAATTTTCTTTTTTAATTTTCAACAGTCAAGTTTTAAAGCTTTTTAATAATATAAAATTAAAAATCTTAGAAAAACTTAAGCAGATACTTATATTTGAATTGTTCAATTCTGTTAAAGCAATCTGCAGTTAATCAATCGACTAATAATTTCTATTTAGAGGCTAACATCGATTTATAAAAAGAAAAAAAATTTACCAAGTATCTAAAATTTTCAGAAACTCTATTTGTAAAATAATTCAAGTCACTAAGGTCTTTTCCCGTATTTCATATTTGCCCTACCTAAACAACTGTTTTATGTATGAGAATTAAAAAACGTGCAGCATTTATTACTAGTTGATGTTTCATGAAACATGGCATATCAGTTATCTTTTCTCTATAGTCAGCATAAATGATGCATTTTAGAGCATTATTTTTATAAAACAATGTCGATTTTTAAATTGAGTATTGATTGAGTGTCTGGATAAAGTACTCAAATTATCAAAAGCAAACAATTACACAAAATGCCTAGAAATGCCTAATAAACCAGTCGACTACCAGAAACTTGAATTAAAAGTCTGAATAACGTTTTCCAAGAAAGAACAGATAATTCTTATTAGTTCAGCGACAGTTATGTGACTGAAACTTAAAACAGCTTCTCAAACTGAGGAGCGTAATTACGCACTTTTGAATTATCTAGAATAGTGCAATTAATGTGCCTTATCATGCCAATTTTAACTGTTTCCTTATTTAACTGCTAGGAAATGAACACTACAAATGGCAAATGTTTTTTCTTTAAGATTAGACACTTTTAGTAACTATATAACATATAAATTTAAAACAATAGGTTTAATGCCATTTTTTGGTCAAAATTATTACTAATTTTCTTATAGCAAGGCTTTACTGGTTTCAGGTTCTTGAATTTATTAGTCACAATTTTAGTCGTGAAATGTACATCAAATAATTTCAATCTAAATAACGTGCAGGGTATGCCATTTTTAAAGAGCAGAATATGTTATGTCTGACACCCTAATTAAGAAAAGCAAAGCCTTTTACAGGGTGCAGATACGACACTGCCTGCTAATTTCAGTCCTGAGGATTTCCGATCAAGAGAGTCAAAATACAGATACGTTGGTCAGGCACAGTTATTTTAACACATTATAAATAAGAAATTCTTTTTGTAACTTTTTTCTACTGTTATAGGCTGCTGTATTAAATAAATTTTTATTTATAATATATCTTTACTTCCTTTTCACTTTTTGAAGTAGGACCTGAGAAGGAAGATGAGGCAAACCCCAGGTTTGAGTATTTTACCTGTCCTTCACTCTAACTCTTTTCATGGCACTGTCTTTTCTTTGTTTTATTTGCATTTTCCTCATAAATTTACTTGTCGTCTTTGACAGCTTTGTCACTGTCCAACGTTTCTTTTACTTTATAGCAATAAAGCTTTTAGGAAAAATAGTGTTTCCTTGAGAATAGAATTGGGAGAGTTATACTCCAATTGAAGCTTGCAACCAGCGCGCAGTAGGTGAGCACTTTATTGAACTGAACATGAAAAAACAAAACCAAGAAGGCTACAACAACAATCGGCGCTATGATGCAGATCTACAAGATCCGGTGTCGATCAATATAGACAAAAACATTACATTGTAAAAATGCATGCTAGCTTAACATTATCAAGAAGAGCTGTGTACGAGCGTTGCTTGTAAACAATTTTTAGCATACAGATAAAGAAATCAGATGATTTTGTATCGTTTTCTATCTCGCTGCCGCGATAAAGCTGCTTGTCTCTAAGAAAGATTTCTTGGAGAAACAAGCAGTTTTATACCGGTATCTGACAAAACGTTTTTGACTTATTACTTCATTTTCATAGATTTCAGTATTTCGCACCAATTTATCTTCTCTTTCTGTCATCAATGTTTCATGGTACATAAGTCTCCAAATTTGCTGAGCTAGGGATAAACAGTAACAAATTGGATAACAATTTGTTGTTGCTGAAATTTTTTATTACAAAATAGGAGTTTGTTAGGAAAAAAGTTATTTTATCTTATCACAGCGTTTTTACATCTTAACTCTACCTTTCAAAACTAATCCTAAAACTAATCTGAAACTAACTTTCAAACTAAATGCAGTTTTTCAACTATTGTCTTAAACTTTTGTTGCTTTTTTGGTATCTTTTATTGTGCCTTTAACGCTTAAAAAACTATAGGTAAAAGTAGGAAAGTAACACTGTAATTTTGATACTTTGATCTGCTTCACTTAGATACACTTAGTCTGCGGCAAAGAAATGTAAGCACACTTCTTTTAATTTATTTAGAAATTAAAAAGATATAAATTTAAGGTGCAGGAAATCTCTATGGAACAAGAAGTACCTTTATGAGAAGTGTCTTCATTTGCAAATGTTTCTTTTTTCTAAGCTTAGGCTTAGGCTTCGGGTTGGAAACTCCTGTTCAAAATGTACATTCCCTTCTTAATTTGAAGCAACCTTGCAACTTAATTTATATTTTTTAAGGTTCTGAAACAATAAAATTTTTAAAATTCTTTCTGTTTTGTTTTCGTTCTGCCGAGCACGATTTTTAATTTACTAGTTACCCAAAGTTTTGCTTTTGAAACTTACGTTCTTCGGCATCACCAAAAAGAAGAACAAAAATTCAACTGTTTACACTTTACAGCCTTAGAAATCACGTTAGCATGAGCCAAAATTATATTAGTATGAGACCTATTTATTCCTATTATTATCTTTTACCGTTTTATGTTTCAGAAGGTCATTTTGGAGGGCGTTTATTGCTTTGTTATAACTTTAATAAAGACAAAAGATGCTTTATTTTAAAACACCGCTATCTATGGATATTGTTTTATGGATCCAGAAAAGTATGATATTTGAAATGATGTATTTTGAGAATACCAAATTAAAAAGACAGCAGTTTTGGCTGTTAAAGCGCGCGGAACTTTTATAGAGTCATGTAATTCAAAAATATTCTTTACAATGTTTTTCTGCATAAAATTTTTCAGTGGAAAGGTTTATCCAGAAACATTAGGAAAATATCAAAATCTTGTTCAAATGGAGGTCTGATTTACTTGACTCATGAAGACGAAATCGATGTGCTTTCAGGTAACCTACAGAAAAAAACTTTAATTTGAAATTCTTCATCTTTCATAATTGATTTTATAAATAATTTCAATATGGCCAAAAAAGTAACTTTCAATAATGATTAACTTATTCAGAACTTTAATAATCTTGAAACAGCTAAAAAAGTCGCTAAAGAAGCAATTTTAAAAGTAGAAGGTTGTTTTAACTACTGATTTTACATATTGATGAAAAATTTTCAGATTTTGTCCAACTCGGTTCCACTTATAAATTAAATGAAGTGCTTACTGGAATTTATTGCGATTTCGAAAATCAAAATGATGATCGCAACTCCTGTTTCTACGATATACCTGATGTTGGAAGAAGAGCCGTACCAAAAGATTTGGAGAAAGCCATCAAAAAAAAGTCAGCTCGCTTCTCGGGAAGAAAGCTGGGATACTTCACCTTCCACAAGAACCTCCAGTATGGCTTTCGTAAGCTTTCTGTTACCCATTAGTTCTTCACATCTTTCTCCCGTCAGTTCTGTTAGAATTCAGTAAATAGCAACTAACCCTACTTTTGTATCATTAAGAAACTAAAAGAATAACCAAAACAGGCATTATTCCACTTCAGCGTGCACTGCTCAAACTTCGTTTCTTCTAACGGCTAGTCTTCTGTACGTAGTGCTTTAGCAAATGCTTAATCCACTAATAAAAAAACAAAAAATTCTGCACCGTTCTACTTCATCTTTTCAAATAACAAACTTTCAACATCGTTTGACCACTATTCAAAGTCTTTCTCAGCCGTTCTTCAAGTTTTATCCACTTTTAAAGCGCCAGATAAAATCAGGATAACTGAATAATTTTGACAAATATAACTAGACGCTAAAAGATTATAAAAGCAGCAAGTATAGCGGTGAAAAATCAGAACTAAGTAAGCTTAGCAGTAAACTAGAAAATCTAATAATCTTTTGAACTAGAGAAAGCGGCCGGCAGGGTTTGGACAGCTCGAGAAAATACGTCAAATGCGTACTCCCAACATCTACAGACAAACTGTATTGGACACAGGTCTAAGACGCATGTTTTTAATAAGATCTTTGGATGAGTCTCAGCAGATTGTTCAAAATTGCTGCGTCTTGAGGTGTTTTAAAGGGTTTTGGGCAGTATTAAGCTATAAAGAATTGCTTTTCAATATGTCGTAAAGCGGCATATCAGATTCCGCATTGTAGAACGGTGCTTCAATACATGTAAATTTTGTTCGGCCACTGTACTCTCTGCCCAGCTTCGTCAGTTTTAGCTTTGAATTTTTACAAACTCCCAGCGTAAAATTTGAAAGTGGGTTAGCCCACTTCGAGTTGCATACATTTCCGTGCAAAACATTAAAATTTTCGAAATTATTCTAACTTGTAGAACTGGTTCCTCCATTAAAAGACAGAAAAAGTCTACCTCAAGAGATGCTCTGAAAGTGCCGTAGATTGCACTTGGCTTTTTTTAGAAAAGTCACCTTTGAGGAATTATAAGCTCAATTATTTGAAAAAAATTTACAAAAATTTTGCTTTATGTTTGATTGCTAGTTTTTCGTAGGTTTAAAAAAGCTACTGAAATGGTCATACCATGAAATTGTAAGGAAGTCGCAGTAAAAAACTGAAAAAAGTCGCATCTAAAAATGTCAATGTTCAAATTTGAAAAAGTATTTTGAAGGCGTACAATCCGTAAAAAAATATCGGAATTGCAATTTGCGTTTTCAGCAGGTTCGACAATTTCATGCTAGGAAGTGAAATCTGATTACAAGAGTTTATATGCTTGTAGCTTATTTTAAGATTTGCTTTGCTGCTCAAGCAGTTTTCTCACAGCCAGCATATGTGGAATAAGTGACAGGGAGACAAGACATAAAATAAAAGAATCAGAAAAAGAATCAGGAGAGAATAAATAAGAAAAAAGTTCAGAACAAAAGAAGGTAAGAAAAAAGAGCAAGGATAACTCTTCAAAGAATTCTAGCAAGAGCTTTTAAAACACAAAACAGCTTTGACTGCAAATGTCATAAAAAATTTTTGATCAAATAAAGAATATAGGTGGCGATAGGAGAAGACAAAAGGATAAATGTACAAACAAAAAATAAAGGATAAGGTTCTCATGTATAAACAAAATTGCATATTTCAACACCGTCTTTTCAAACGTGACAATAGCGTCTGTAATTTTAACACAGTTAAGAGCCTAAGTCTAAGGCTAAGTTAAGCTTAAGCCTAAGACCAAGCTTAAGCCTAACCGTAAACGTAACTCTAAGAGGAGACTTAAGCTTAAATGTAACTCTTTTAATGTTGGATTAATTCAAAAATTGATCTCTATAAGTAATAGGTTTATTTAAATGTTTCATTGAAATATACATTGTTATTAAACCGTAAGCTTATAGCTCTCTTATGGTTACGTATTATTTGATGCTTCCCTCCAGAAAACCAATCATTCTCCTAAGCTTAAGACACACATTGTGCGACTGAAGTTTTACAGCAAGTTCGTATCAGTTTTGAAATGATGTACACCAATTTCCTCAGACGGTTTCTTTTCAACGAATACTTCGCTTCTTCTTACGACCTGCAAGTACACTTACGTATTGGACCCCATAACCTATTCCCCACATCTCGATGTGTTTTGCGAATGTGCCGTTTATATAAATAGACCAAAGGATAAAGTTTAAGAACTTGCCTCGTACCGCGGAGGACAATGGGAAAATTCAGCTGTCCAAGATCTCGTCACTCTCCAAATTAAAAAACCTAAAAAAACTACATTTATTGTTAAGAAAGAAGTGTTTCTTATGATGTTAGAAACACCGTAAGATAACACATTTTTTTACTGTCACTTCCATAACGAGAACTGTATAGTTTGAATAAAGGAATAAGCGTCTAAAATAGGTTTTGAAAACAAGGGCAGACAAGTTGAGAGTATAACACAAATTAGGCGTAAGAATTAAAATTGAAATTAGAATCAAAATTACCTAAGCTGTTCATGTCTAAGGTTAAGCTGCTGTGCATGCTTGTTGACGTCTGAACGTGTGCTATGCTATGTCGAACAAGCACGAAGACGGAAATCGAGCGCAAATTTCTATATTCTCCATCATCTTAATCATTTTGCTTGCGGCTGTTGCAAAAGAAACAACAGAAAAAAATGTGCAAGAAAACCATAAAGAAAAAGGAACGAGCAGGTCGCCTTGCTTTTATTCTCCAAGTTGCAACAGCGTTTGATAAGAGAGTTATGCTTTTGTTTATCACAACTTTACAGTATAAATTCTATTTAGTAAGATTCTAAAATTTTGCCTGATTTTTCGAAAAGAGTGGCTGGAAAAGTAGCACATAGAGCACAAAGAGAATAAATTTTAAACAAGCTTTTAACACCCTGTTACTGAGAAAATAAATTTTTGGTTGCGTTTTTTTGTCTTCTTAACTTCTAACTTTGAATTCAGTTTTACGAAGATCCAATTTTGTGTTTGTGTTTAGCGTTTATAAGATTGAGTTTGTGCAGTATTCCGGCTTACACTAAATAATTTCTTTTCCTAAATGGCAAATATTTTTCAAGTTTTGCAACAAACCTAAAAAAAAAGCGCATCGACAGACATTTGCTCCTCATACTCTTCAGCACCATGTGTTGGTTGCGCAGGTAATCTATCGATTCATTTAGCTTATCATACTTTGTTTACAGAATTACTTTCGCTATCTAGTAATTCAGTTTGGAAATTCAATAACCGGCTAATAAGTTCTTTTGATTTACTTCTTAAAGACTGCGTTCAAAATCCTTGTATGTTGAGGTTACGATTTATTCATGCTCTCAATTGATTTCGCGACAACACTCACCTATTACAGTTTTTATCAAATTTAGAAGTAACAGTAGAGAAACCGCAAGGTATTATTAGAGCAAAAGTGGCTTATGCCACAGGGTTATCAACAGCTGACCGTGAACCACAGTCTGTCCTTTACTAAGCTTCTGTTTACCGCTTCTGAAAATATCATTGAGTGTATACAACAGAAATTTAAGAACATTTATATTCAGGGCTTGAGTGTGAAGAGAGTTTTTATAAGATTATATATGCGGACATTTGTCTAAGAAAAGTTACCTAGAAACGACACTGTTTACCATCTTTTTGACTGATTTAGCAAATTACTCTTAAACGCTTTGCAGTTTTTATAAAAATGTGAGGGTTCAATCTAAGCTTCTGATTGGCCATTAAGAATCCGCGTTTTTGAATAACTTTTCACAAAAGAAACGCTGACAAAATTTCTCTTTCAAACTAGAAGAATAATGTGAAACTTTTTTACTTTTTTAGAGCACAAATTTGTAAGTACGAAAAACTGATAAGACTAGTCTGGAAATGCCCAAGGCATTAAAATCTGTCTCAGATTCGGTGCTATATAGCAACACACATTAATCCACTTACTACAACCTCTTTTTACAGTGCCTCATAAGTTTTGCATCTTTTGCACTAGATCACCTTGAAGCCGTAACCGATACTGCCTAGGTAACAAAAAAACTAAATATATGATCAATTTTTGTAGCTACATCACTGTCACTAATTTCTTCTACTATTATTCTGCTTGTCAAACTGGTATCTTCGCTCAACTACTGCCACTACAAGTTAAATCTTGCCATAATTGATCACTGCTACTATAGATCTTCAGTTGTTGCTTGCAAATCTCCACCACAACCTGATCTTAGCTGACACGAAGAACCAAGAAATTTCTTTGTTGGCTCTATCGACACAAGTCTATAGCAAGTTGCGATAAAGGTAGTGTCGCTTTTGCGGCCTACTTTTAAAAGCTACATTTCTGATGGTATCCTATCCAGGTACTTAAAGCAGTCAGTTTCTAAGAATTCCAAACCTTAACGTTTTACATTTGTTTACTTCTCTTTAGTTATTTTTTGAAAATGTTCCAGCAGCTGTTTTTGAAGGTCTTACTTTCTAATTGCTGTAGTTGATCTGTTCTAATTGAGAAGGGATTTTTTACTAAAAATTGCCGTTAAAAATTTCATCACAAGATACTAGTGATGAAAAAAATTTCAGATGGTAAAACATTTTTATTAGCAATACCGTTTCATTTGCAAACATTTTTCGTAATTGCACAGCTTTTTGTGCCACCCGCATTTTTTTCGACAAAAAAAAATTTTTCAATTATTTCCAGTCCTGCAAAAAGATTGAGAGAGCCAAGAACTCTGACAAAAAACAAAAGTAATCTCGCAGATTAATAGTCGGCGCTGACTGGCTAACTGCTTCTCGGTTAAAAAGTTAAACAAGGGAGTAGTGAAGAGGAGCAGAGGCAAAAGGAGGGGAGGCAACAGGAAAGACGGAGGGAGCAACAGCTACGGCGCTGCAGAGTTGAGCGAAGTAAATAAATGTTTCATCTTTCCAGCAAAGCAAAGAAATGCTGCATTTTTCTGCCACCGATCGGTGGCATATTGTTCCTGGAACAAATATAGCGTCTGACCAGCGGTCAAAATGCAGTACCATCAAGAACGTGTCTGAAGGGGATCAGCA